TTTCTAATTCCGATCAATCCGGGACCTTGGCCGGGCATGCTTACCCTAGCTTCTCTCCGAATGACAAATTCCTTTAACCTTTCTACCTACCTCTGCCTATTTACCCCAATTCCATCCTATCTTATAGCTTCTATCAAACATCAATCTTCCAAACACTACACTATCTCTCTGCCTCTCCGCCTCAGCCCTTCCTTGATTCTTACTCTACATCATTATACGTCCTGATTCACCACATATCTACAACTACCTGCAAAAACTCCTCTACAAACAGCTAGGCTAGCTCTCACCACTCCCAATCCTAATCTCTAATTTCCCTCTTTCCAGTAATCTAAATACCACCATTTCACATCCTACCTTTCTATCGGCAACAGCTCCTCCCCCAATTAACTTGTTCCCTACACTGCAGGACCTCGTCTACAGGTATCCAGTTCCCAGCACTCTAGAACCCAGTTCTCCACAGATCTACCTCAATTATCTACATCAGTTGCTCCTAGTCTTCCATTTGTTATCACTCCAGAACCCAAATCTCCACCCATCTGCTCCAGTTTCTTCAACTTTCACACTTCTCACTGCTCAGGAACTTCACTTCTTTGCCTATTTGCCTCAATGCCCTCCACATTCTAATTCCCATTACTCCAGAACCCATATTTTCACCTACCTCAGTTCCTTCTTGTTGCCACGTTCCACCACTGCCAAGCCCAACTATCTACCTTTCTGCATCAATTTCTTCAATATTTCCACTCTCAAACGCCTTACAACCTGTTTATTCATCTATCTACCCCAGTTACTTTCCAAATATCTATTTCAGATCACTCCAGAATCGAAACCTCTCCCAGACTACCACCATTCTTTCTAGTCGATAGCTCCACCTAGAACATTCATCTCTACATCTCTACCTCAGTCACTCCTAGTTATCTACTTCCCTTTATCCTAGAATCCATTTTTCTCACCCTCTACCTCATTCCCTCTCCAAATGTCTAATTACTGCGGACACTCCCCAATTCCCTATTCATCTTCCCCATTTTCTTCCACTTTTCCAATTCTCATCACGCCAAAGCCTAGCTATCCAACTGTGCACCTCAGTTTCAAACCACGTCCCCAACTATTATCGTCCTACATCCCAATTCTCCACAAAACAGCCCCTATTCCTCTCCTACTACCGAGTTCCAGCCTCAAATATCGTAGTTTTCTACACATCTGCTTTAGTTCCTTAACAGCTATCTACTTTCCACCACTACACGAATCGGGGTCCAGAACTTTAGTTCACTGGCTCATTTTCTCCTGAACGCCCATTTTTATCTAAGCCTGTCGTCAGGCCTCCTTACTCCACCATCTAGCATTTACCTGCTCACACGTGTCGCACAGGTGGAAGACGGAGGTAGGAAATAAACAGGAGATGAGTAAATGCCCAGAGGCAAATAGACCCACAGATATAAATGAATATTTCGGGAAATAAATAAGCAAGAAGTAGGTAAATAAATAAAGGGGTGGATGACT